TAATTATTTGCATGAACTGGAAGATGGTCCTTGCTGCTGTGGATATTCTTCCTGTGGCTTTTGGGAGCTATAATTTGTTACTGTATAGGGTAACCAGATCTGCTAACAGGATTTTATGTATCTTGTTTAGAAATATATTTATTTATGTATTGGAAGCCGCCCGGAGGCTTATGCGAATGGGGCGGCATACAAGTTGTCCAAACAACCAACCAACCAACCAACCAACCTACTATAGGCCATGCAATGATATAGTTTCTTGGCATCTAATTAATATAACTGAGCACTGCTAATATATATCTTGTTTATAAGCTTGATCCAAAAGTGTATGCAATAAGCTAAAGACACGTATTAGAAAAAGGCTAGATGTGCTCTATGGCTACTCACCATCTCCTCGTCTTTACTTTTGCTCCCTCCACCCTGCCATATTTTTTATCAGTAGTCTTCTGTGGACGTCTAGATTTTTAGTGCATTGACGTTTGAAAGGACAGTTGCAGTGGGACCTTATTTTCTTTTTCTGATATTGGTATTGATACATTCATGACTCTGCTTCTAGAATTTGAAAGATTGTGAACAGGTTCCAAGGATGTTAGCAATGCAGTATGTATTGAAATACTGTACATACCTTTATGGGAATGTGACAATATGTGATAATATCTTTTTGATAACTGCTGACCTGCCCCAACAGTCTGATAAAATCTCTTACAAGGTTTAAGAGACTCCAAAATGCAGTGTTCTGTGAGATTGGGAGCTGTGGCGGAAGGAACTTTGGATGATGCATTAAACTGATTTTGACAATTTTCTGTCTCTCAACACATAGCACCGTAGCCCTGTCCATTCAGGAGGACCTATTGCAGTTGGAAGAGCTTTCTTGGGAGTTTGAAGGAAAGAGAGGGTGGGAAAATAGGCATGTTTCTGGATTCAGCCTACTAAACCCACCATTAACTTTTGATATCCTTCTAAACTTCCATTTCCATTGTGTATACAACCTTATACACCATTCATTTACATTTTATGCATAATCTTACGTGGCATTAAAAGAAACAAAATATGTAGATTACTTGTAATACTCCCATTCATGTTATACTCTGGTCATCTTCAAAGCATTTTAATCTGATAATTGTTCTGTATTCTTGAGGGCAATTATATTAGCAATTTAATAACTTTGTGATTCCAGTCCAAAGAGATGATAATGTCAGTACATTACAGTATCTATCGATCAGTCACCTTGTGAACATTAGTTAGCTTACAATAAAGTAGCTAGAAATTGTAGAGCTGTGAGATACTGAGAAATATAAAGTAGCACATCTGAAACATGGAGCAATCAGTTTTGCAAAAAGGTGCTAACTTTAGCAATGTCAGATCATATTTCTGCCAATTGGGGCAATGAGTTTTGTGGAATCCAATGAAGATGTTGATAAAGGTGGACAGAAAATCAGAGGAGGGTATAGAGGAGAGAAGGACTATGTAAGCCACCTTGAGTTCTTTGCGAGAGGAGAAAGTTAGAGTATAAATGCAAATAACAGAGGAGCAGACAGAAGACATTCTGCAAATCTTGGTATGTGACAGTGCAGTTGGGCATTTCCATAAAGTGGCAGGAGTGAACATATACTTGACGCTTTCAGGGTAGTTTTGTGGTTTTGGGATGCTTATTTGCACAAATTTCATTAGCAGCTTGAACGAAATGCATAACTCACAGTCTGTCTTAGAGATGGAAGTGTCTGACCTGGCTCAGCTCATACCATAGTGAGTTAGTACAGGCCTAACAAAGAGGAAAATTGGGGTGGGGGGAGGTCAGTGTGTGAAAATACATTGGATTCATCACATTCCTAACTGGAACACAGCTCTGCAGATTTAGTCTCTGTTTCTTTTTTCTCCCCCGTGTTTTTGTCAACCTGTTAATAGCATAACAGCCGCAGATAAGTGTTGCTGAGCTGCTCTTTAATTTCCTTTTTATGAATGATAAATACAGATGATAATGAGAGAATAGATGATGTCATCACATCTGTTTTATCCACTAACCTGGGCAGTTTTACAACATTTATCAGCTCATAGAAGAAAGATCTGTCAATGGTTATAAGAATTTGATATGATAGATATGTGGAAGCACCATGTTCAAAAACATTATCTCTGAGACTACCAGTTGATGTAGTAAGGCAGTAGTAAGAGGAGAAAATGACCCCAAACAGAGCATTATTGCTGCCTGTGCCACTGGGTGGGAAGTCTGGGAGGAGGAATCAGAATTGCTCATTCTTTTGAGAAGCAAAGCAGCAGGGAGTATTAAATACATGTGTCTGCATGAGCATATCTCAGATTATTTTGAGAAAAGCATTTTCATTTGCCCACAGCAAGCTAGGATATTCTTAAAATTGGAGGTTCTTGTGACAGTGTACTGCAAGACGCTTCTTTTACCACCTGAAAGGTGCTTCGGGGAAATTGTTTTTTTAAAAAGGGAGGGGAGGAGGGAAGAGAGAGGAAGATTCTTTACTTGCTTCTCACAGCTCCATGGTTACTTCTGCAGCAGAAATCACCACAATGCAGCGTTCTAGTTGCATCAGACCCTGTGCCTCCCATGATAACATGCAGCCCTATACATGATGCTGTCCATGGTAAGCCATGTTGAGGACATGGCTGTCTCAAGGATCTGTGGATGATGCTTGCAGAAGAGGGGGAGGAGGGTTAAAACAGCCAGACTGTTTGCTTCTCACAGTTCTAGGTAGCAACAATTCCACCATCGATGGAATAACCATTTGATTTAAATCACTTAAATATTGCCAGAAGTGATTGGAGGTGGTGCGGAATAAGGGATGCATATTTCTGAAGGAGTGCTGAGTTGTATGTGCAACAGGCAGTAATGAACAAAAGCTCTACACATATTCAGAGTCTTTTTGGCAGACCAACAAACATTTCCCTTTAATCAAACACAGCAAAAGCAAAAAAGGAGACAAAAGAGGCCAGCAGAAGTGCATAAGAAGAGTGTACCATGTGTATTCTATTTAGTAAAAATTGTAGTTTTTAATACAAGAATCTTAAAGATTTCTTTCTCAAGATTCCATTCTTCTCACTTCACTTCATCCACATTATTACCCAGCCTCAGTCAGTCTCTCTCATAGTCTCTTCCTCTCTCATATTCTCTCTCTCTCTCTCTCTCTCTCTCTCTCTCTCTCTCTCTCTCTCTCTCTCTCTCTCTCTCTCTCTCTGAGCTGTACTTGTATCACTTTCTTGCTGGGAGTAACCTTAGAAGAGTGCAGTGGCTGAGAATGGATGCCTGTCACATTTCCTGCCCCAAAGAAGAAATTTAAGCTTATGATTAGGTAGGGACTGGTAGAAGAGCAGACAGAAGTAGGGAGACCAGGAAAACAGATGTTTCTTCTTTGCTGCTGCCACTATTCTCTCTTCTGCTGAATGTTGCTAAAATTACATTGCCATGGCATTGTGCAGGCTTTCAGCATTATAAAGTCTGAGGATTAAGTTGTGCCTTTTACTTTTGAGGACTTCTTTGCACAGGGAAAAAGGCTTCTCAAAGAGTTTTCTTGCTGCTGTTGGAAGAGCCAGAATAGACAAGACTGGGATATTGTTTCTTGTATTTCTTTGCCACTATTGAAGCCGAGAGCCCCCAGCACAATAGGATTGTTTTTTCTTTCCCAAAAACATATTTTCAAGGAAACTTCCAATGGTTAATCTCTGCTTCAGAAGAAAGAAAGAAGGAAAGGAAGAGTAAAGAGTGCATATATAGGACATATTACTTCCAAATCAAGAGAAGTAGTAAGTTCCTCTATACTCCTCACTAGTCAGACCTCACCTGGAATACTGTGTCCAGTTCTGGGCACCAAGATTTAAGAAAGATGCAGGTAAATTAGAAAGAGTCCAGCAGAGGGTGACAAAAATGATCCAGGGTTTGGAAACACTGCCCTATGAGGAGAGACTGAGGGAACTGGGCATGTTCAGCCTTGAGAAGAGAAGACTGAGGGGACAGATATCCCTCAAAGGCTGCCACAAAGAGGAAGGTCAAGATCTCTTCTTGCTAATGCCAGAATGTAGGACACAGAATAATCAATTCAAGTTGCAGCATCCTAGATTCAGGCTGGACATCAGGAAAAGCTTCCTCACTGTCAGAGCAATACAGCAGTGGAACCAGCTGCCTAGAGAGGTGGTGGGCGCTCCCACACTACAGACATTCAAAAAGAACCTGGACAGCCATCTGAGTGGGATGGTGTAATGTAGTGTCCTGCAACAGCAAGGGGTTGGACTCGATGGCCTTCATGGCCCCTTCCAACTTTACTGTTCTGTTAATCTATATATATATATTGTCCCACGGATCCATTTGGTCTAAGCAAGGGCCTATGGACTAGCTTGGCCCAGATGGCTTCTTAGCTTCATTCTTTTTGCAATTTGTAACAGAATCTTCATGGAACTTCTCGTATAAATTTGCCAGTTGACACTTCTATAGTCATATCCTTTTTTGTTCTTTATATCACAGTTTCATCATTTTTTAAATCGTACCTGTTAATTAAAAGGCAGATAACAATGACATAATCATCAATACAAAATTAAGAAGATAACATCTTATAGCCATGCATTGGAACCCATTAAAAATAAAGCGGGGGGGGTGGTATTTTTAATTATTTAAAAAAATCAGCTGAGGGGTAATGTGTGATGGGGCAGATTATAGATTCAAGGATCCAGACTCTTAAGTCCCTTTTCTCTTGTCATCCTTATCACCTTAGAAAATAGGAGCCTGTGAGTAGATGTCACCTAAAGAGGTTCTGCATACTTGAACAAATTCATCTGGGTATACTCTGTCCAAAACTGTTCTAGCGATCTAGACTTTGATTTCCAGCATGTTCTTTCCACCTCTGAATTTTGCCCATATCGCTCATTTTAGCAAATATTTTTCAACCAGTGCTTTCAGTATTGGTATTCCATTGTTTAATAAAGTGATTAAATTTCAGTATGACTTTTGAACAGATATTGGTATTTGCATTCTCTCTGTTTTCTTTTAGGTTACAGAAAAGAATCCTCCAACACGGTATTAGAAAAATGAAACTCTTCAAAGTATTTGTCAATCTTCAAACTTACATTTTAAAGGATCACCATTTCTAAACTTCAGTCTACTTTCTCACATACTTAAAGTGGTTTACTTTTGATGAAATCCAAGGACAATGAACTCATTTTGTTTTTTGTGTTTCTTTGCTTGGTATAGTAAAGTCCCATTCTTGTGTTGTTCAATGGGAAAAACCTGAATAGGTGTGTGCGTGGTTTTTTTTTTTTAATGTTCTTCTGTCATTGATCCAAAGTCTATATGCCTTTAAGCCATTGCTATATTTGTTTCAATGGTTACTTTTTTAGTTAGTATTTTTTTTAACCTTTCAAGGTCTTCCACTGATTCTGCAGGAATTTTTGATGTTCTCCAGAAAATGACTTTCATCCATTTGAGCTTCTTCTCTGATTGCTGTAAATGGCTCCTTCCACCCATCCATTAATGGACTAATATGAGGCACTGCATTCCTTGCTGCATAGCATTGTTACCAAATGACTTGCACAAGCAGTGTTTCAAATGTCAGGGGTCAAATCACAGTAGTCAAAAGTGTCCTCTGTGCAAAGGAAAGAATAAAGTTCTGTTGCATGTGGATAGCAAACAGATGAACTTACTTGCAGTTCTGGAAGTAAGGACTGATCACAGTGATAGCTGGACCGGACTATTTTGCTTAAAGAAAGGGAAGCTATGCAGTTTAATTTTTGGATTAGTCATAATGATGCTAGTGATGGCATCCTATATACTGACTGGAGCTAAACATGGCTTTGTGCTAATGCAACCAGCACTGCATTATGGCACTTTCAGCAGCAGTTCAAACTTAATGGACAATGAGAGCCTCTGTGATTTGAAAGACCATTACCATGCATCTAAAATGAATATTTCCTATGCAAAGGATTACCCAAGCATTAAAGCAATCATTGACAGTATTACTTCAAATATTGAGTTCACGACCAGACCTCTTCCAGACTTGGAAGATCTGCAGAAACAAGAGATGCATGTGAGTATAAAAAGAGAAATAAATTTGTGTATTATTAAAAATGTAGGTCACTACCACTGTGCTGAAATATCTCTTACATATAGATACAGTTACATGATTTCAAGTCAATATGCCCATGTTTACTGACCGGGTCTATCACAGATACATTTGATTTCAGTGCAATTTTACAAGGTGGTGGGCAATCTGCAAAGTATCTACAGTGCCTCTTTGCTCTTTGTACCAGTATCTTAGCTAGAGGCTGTCTAAAATAGATAAGTTATGGCCTATCAAAGGCTTTCTGGGGTCTTCAACGTCTTCTCTGCTAAGGACTGAAAAGGGTTGTTAGTCTCCCTCTCTCCCACTTTGTGTGTGTGTGTACACATCTACATAAACATTCATATTTGATTCAACATGGTCCTCATAGTTAAAAGCTAGAGTGTACAAATATATTGCTCTTCACTTCCACTCTGCATATCTACATGTATTTATGTAACAGTTTAGGGTAAACATCTGTCACTGCAGTTCAGCCTTAAAATTGTTGGAATGTTAGAGCAATGGCATATAGGTAGAAGTGCTATTTTAAACTATAAACTTTCTCCTTTGTATTCCAGATGTTCTCAGTAATACCTAAAAAGTTTCTTCAGGACAGCAAGAATCCTTGTTGGTATGAGGAATACAGAGGAAACACTACCAGAGATCCTTATGCTACAAACTCATATGCCTTGTATTCCAAACGTTTTCGGACAATATTTGATTACCTTAGGAAGGTATTTTGGAACCATTTGTATCATTACAAAGACAAGCATTACCGGCTGCGCTGTCTTCCCCACTTCTACATCATAGGCCAGCCAAAATGTGGAACAACAGACCTTTATGACAGGCTCAGGTTACATCCTGATGTGAAATTCTCAGCTATTAAAGAGCCTCACTGGTGGACAAGAAAACGGTTTGGTGAGTAAACAGTCTTGACTGACATTTCAGAGCTGTGTTTGCTTAAAGAAATACTTAGCCTTCCTTAGGAAGCAGTATCTCTTCCGTTTTGAAATTTCTTAGTCCCGAGGAAGCAATAAACTTAATGCCGGAAATCAAGAGATCTGGCTTCATTGTCTGGATCTGCTGCAGGTTGCCTTGGATACACACTGGAAATGCCTTGTTTTTACTTCACATAACAAACTCAGAATCAACAGGCTAACACTGAAAAGCCTAGCAGCTGGAATTGCCACAGACAAATGTTCATGGTTTCTTTTTTACCACAGCAGTATTTTATATGGTGCATGGCTGTAAACTTTCGTTGCCCAAAATGAAAGGTGCTGATAAACAAAACACAAACAACCCCTTCCCCCTACCATTCCTTATTTCTAGGGTGCCGAGGCTGCAGCTGCTCTAAAGCATATCTAGAGCAAATCTATAAAGCATCTTAAAATTGTACTTTAAATTTACAATTAAACTAACACAGCAGACTTAGTTTGCTAAAATGGCTGTGTTAAGAGAGAACAGGCAAAAGATATGGAAGCAGAGATTTCTCACATTGGAGCCATGTAAAAAAATGGTTCCTACAAAGATTTGTATTAAGACTTTACTTTTTGAACTTGCTCATAAGTGATATGAAACTGCGATAAACAGACAGGTTGTCCAATTTGCTGGTGTCTAGTTTATGGACTTTCCATAGACATCTGGCTGGCTCTGTGGGGAAGCAGGCTGCTGGACTAACAAGTCTTTGGTCAGAACTAGCAGGCCCTAGACACCATTGTGCCTCTGGGTTTCTGACATTGCATCAGTCTGGAGCAGTGAAGCATTGGGCCCCTCAGCACTGTGGGGAGAAGTAAATGGGAAGTGCCTGGACCCAGTGCCGGACAGCTGCTGGTTCTCTTTGGCCTAGGGCTGGAGCCTGTCTGCTGCAACAGGCATTTTTTAACTAGTGGCCAGATGTGCAGTCAGTCCTCCTGTGTGGTTGAGTAACTACTTACTCCTGAAACTTGGCCTGTGTTAACTACATATAAAATATGCAACACCATGGTTGTGAGAGATAATGTGGATTTTCTCTTGGTTGAAGGGTACCAACAGCATGAGGGAGAGGAACAGGGGGATAGGGGAGGGAAGAGAGACTTGAGAGAGAGCTGATTAGCCTGCCCAGATAGTTGAGTTGCATAGTTTGCCTCATGCAATTTGACTCTGGATCCCTTATTGGCCCAATTTGAAAGACTCACTCACTCACTCATTTATTATTACTACTACTACAAACATTTATTTCCCGTCCTTCCGACAAGCACACAGCACACTGTGTAAAATCTTACAATAATACAATAATAAAACACCAATTATTAAAACAATATAAAACAGCACATCATAAAACTAAGAGAAAGAGAGGAGGAGGAAAAGAATAGAAAATGTGACTGTGGGAAAAAGAGAAAAAAGTAGTACTCATCTGATGGTGAGCTCATTGAAAGACTTAGTGACAGCAGTGTCTAATATCTCTCTTGCTTCAGTGCCAGTTTGGCAGGAATTAATGCTAGAAACTATTACTGTCTAAAACTAGGGCCAATATCTATAGCTGGCAACTTTGTGCATCTGCCTGTGAATTTTGATTGTTGACATAATCTTTGCTTTCATTCTTCTGATGGATTTCCTAGGATAGAATTTGGGGAAGCAGATAGTTACAATTGCTTTCAAAATTTGCAAAGGTTAAACATCTAGAAATTTCAAAGCACTTGAGAATATATTTTAATTAACTGTACTACTAAATCAGAAATCTTTCCCCTTCTTTCTAGCTGTGCTGGCACCTTTGCTTGGTTCTGCTTAGTACATCTCAAGACACAAGGGAACAGCTCAGCCCCTCTCAGTTTGAACCTTTGTACTTTGACTTTGTACTAATGGTATAGATGGCTAGTAGGCTGGGGTTTATACCACTTAGAGTAATATTTCTGCATAGGTCACAAATACCTTGTGCAGTTTCCCCCCAGATTTTAAGCAGAGTTTTAGAAAGAATCTATGACAAAGCTGTCATTTGTCAGCAAGGGCCTCAGCAAGAGGCTTGAATGGGAATCCTAAGCTCTTCTTTTAGATTTCTATGGAAGTGCTGGTAAACTAAAGCAGGGTGTAATATACCAAATCAGTATGCCTGGATTTCTTTTTAATGTTGTGGGGGTAATAAATGCAATAAAATTGAGCAGAACAAACTTTAGAAGAATTTTAAATATTATGTACTGTTCTTTCAAGTATTTTTCTCCATAGTAACTTATTTCCTATCTGTCTTAGACATTTACCCTTTGCTTAATAGTTTCTGTAAATATGTAAAACCAAGTATAGCTTTCTTTTTTAAAATGTAGACCTTCTCCAGGCCAGATCCAAGCAAAGATTTCAGAAAATGGTCTGAAAGCATCCGATGTGGATCATTGCTGAAGCGGAAGGTGGTTGGGCTTATGCAAAACCTGTGTGGAAAGTTGCCAGGGAACCCTATGCTTGTTGCTTTGATGATAGGGTGGGATGCAGGCATATCAACGAATCACTGGTACCAATATGTAGGGATACTTACCAGCCAGATTAACCTGAAGGATAAAATGGTTACGCTTAATCCAGGGTTTTGTCTTTTACAGGAAAGCCATCATCCTCTGTTAGCAGATAGTGTTATTTATATGATTGAGCATGGTTAAAATATGTAACTGCTTATCTTCCAGCATAAGTCATGTGAATGTTCAATTTTTCCATTGCTTCTTTTTCTTAATGCAGAATGTAATATAATTTGTATGGACTATGATGCATTATGCAGAATTTAACATATAAGCAGGCTTGCTTTCAAAGTTTGTATATATCAAGAATTTGGCTATTTATTTGTGTTCCAAAAGGCAGAGTACAGTGTATAATTACAGAAGAATTAACTGAATTCCAGTGTCCATGTTGTCTTGATTCAGATTGGGTTCACCTTCATGCCATACCTCACTCTGCCTGTCCAGAGAGATTTTGTGGCAGACTGAAATGGTCTTTGCTGCATGTCAAAGCTAAGAGGCCTCTGTACCTTACACAGCACGAGCTGAGCTACCCCAATAGAGATATCCAAAATATACACTCAGGCTATTGCTGCACATTGGAGCATTTCATCATACTTTGTAGGCTGCTGCCTCCTGTATGAATTCTCTCTTGGGATAACTCTAGAGCCATTCCACACTGTGCATACATTGGTGGGCATGTGATTATATTCCTAGGCATGATTTCAAGTCAGAGCTTATATGTTGGACAGATCATGCGAAGGCAAGACTCACTGGAGAAAATCATGCTAGTGGAAGTCGAAGGCAGAAGACAAAAAGGAAAACCAAATATGAGATGGACTGAATCCATAAAGGAAGCCATAGTTTCCAACTTGGAAGAACTGATCTGAGCTGTCATGGACAGGACATTTCATTCATAGGGTTGCCATAAGTTGTAGATGACATGACGGTACATAACAACAAATCATTGTAGTTCCCTTAAATGTCAATATGAAAAAAGACATCTCTACACTCATGTAAATGAAGGAATTGCAATTCATCATTCATGCATATTTGTGCATGTTCAGACATAATGATGTATATGTATAAGTAATGCAAGTTGGAAAACACTGTGATCATATTTTCCATTCCACACCATCTTGGCCAAGCTCATTTAGGTTAAGGTGGTGCATCAATGGTATTGCACTCCATTCAGATTCCACCCTGTTTTATGCAGCCCCTTTTATCGCCTAACTATTAGTTAGTTTGTAACACCATTCACTCTTGGATGCACATGTGACAGGGTTTATGTGTCCTGGATTTATGTATTCTTGCCTCGGATTCTGGGAATTATTTCAGACATTATTTCTCAGCCTGGCCATATTACCCACTTAGGACAATGTTGGAAGAAAAATAATCTGCAAGGAATTGTTTAATTTCTTCGTCGTGGTCCCTGTGCATCACACATACATGGGGGCTGTGCCTGCGCAGTGCCTGTTGCCAGGAAGATTTAAGAGCTTTAACGGTTTTGGTGGGAACTCCACATCCCTCCCCCATAGTACAGATGGGCAGAGTGCCTGCCCCTTCACCAGTCTGCTTGCGACCAACATTTGCTGTGCCTTGGAGGTTTCACCTTACAAAGGTGGTTAGTTAAAACCTGACCAATAGCTGTGGCAGAGCACTTGCTACATCATAATAGATTTATTTGAGGAATTAGCGGAGAGACTGCTTGATTAAAATTTGGTTTCTCTTTTTTTGTGCTTGTGAACAGGGAGGTCCATGAATACATGACCTGTAGTTACAAAATTCTTTTGGTGGAAACTAGTTTACAGTTCTAGGTAGTGTCATAGATAATTTTTATGCTGGATTTTAAGGAATAGCCATTATAGATGGTTTAGAAATGCCACATGAATGTATCTGCATTTTTGTTAGAGAAATAAAAATTAAAAGAGGGGGAGATAAGTGATACTCTATTATTGTTTTGAGCACCCATTCATTTATGCTCCTTTGGCTGCATTAGTTCTGCTTATATCTATTGCAATAAATAGGATTTCAGTTAGACTATCATTCTAAAAGTAAATACAACCCTCTGGTTTATAATGGTTACTTATAGACCTTCCTTTTACATTCTTGTTTTCAGGGATAATTCGTCTAAGGGATGGCTTTCATGATCGCTACCCAGTGGAAGATTACTTGGATCTGTTTGACCTGGCTGCTCATCAGATTCATAATGTGCTACAGGGAGACACTGCAAAAGGCTACAGCAGGATGAGCAGCATTATCATCGGTACAAGAGTATTGCTAATGGGATATGTTTTGATGGTGCTAAACTTGCTTTAGCAGTATCTGAAGCAATCTATATCAAGGATCTTAGAAATATACGCTATATGTGAGATTAACAGAAATGTGGGAGAGATGGCATTTTTAACAGTGTCTGTTGGCTTTTCAACAAAAGGGGTGTTTAGTGCATTTTGGACCACCAATGAAAAGCTGAAAAAAATCTCTCTGAAAACATTATATATCTTGTAATTTTGCACTTTATGTTCTTTAGTGTAAATAGAAACTATTTAGAGGTCACATGATTTAGGGTGCACTCTTCTGCATGTTTAGGCAAAGGAGGTCCTACAACTTCCAGCATACCACAGTCGGCAGAGTTGTAGGACTTCTTTTCTGCCTAAACATGCATTGGAGCAAGCCATTACTTGCTTATCTATACAATATGGCATTCATGGCAACATGCAATCCATTTAAAAGTCTTAATATAAAATGACTACAAATAAATATGAGAATAAAACTCAAGTATGGTTAATAGTATCTGTTAAAAGCTGTAGCTAGACATGTTATCCTCACTATTCTACACTATCTAATATTTATTATGTTCCTATAGCACCCAATTACCAAAGAGCGCAATATAACTGTAGTAAATGACAGAAGTGTTAAGTTCTTTTGGCATGGAGCTGCCGTAATAAAGGAATCTTTCTTCACTTGAATGTCTGGCAAGTGTGTGGCTGCTAGAAATGTTGAGATCCCTGACATGTGGCAACCATTGATATGGGGTTTCATTTTGTTATGTGTAAAGGTGGAAGCTTCTGTAGGAGGGCAATGGTTTTCTTATTCATTTGAGGTAAGAAGAATGCCTAAGCTGTCTCAGCTTAAGGGAAACATCTGATAACGGTTGGACATTCCCTAAATTTGTAAATCATAAGCTATTAGCCCTGATTGTGTTGATGTGATCCATGAGCCCCACTGATTTTTTCAGAAACAAATGTGCTCAAATGCTCTTTTTGTGTTTTTTGTGGCAAGAGCATTTGCAAGCATACCTGTGGAGTAAATTCCTAATTTAGATTGGTAGTATATACCGTTTTTGGAGCAATTGCCTTCTGTTAAAGCTTTTCAGAGAGATGTTTTGTTAAGTAAACTGATTACATTAGCTCCTCTTCATCAAGTTTCTACAGGAAAAAAACAAATTAATATGCTCATTATATTAAAAAAAACCTTGTTAAAATACAACTTACTCAAGAATGCTTATATGGAATCAGAAATTTGCTTAGGAGCAACGTTATTAAACTTCAGATGATTAAAAAGAAGAGATATAATTAAAACTATAAACATTCCTCTGACTTTATCAGGCAATGTAATTTTCCAATCAAAAGCATCTCGGAATCAAATTGTTACTGGGTTATAATTGTATTGCCAGATGAAGCCCTGGATGTTTTGGAAGAGCTGTGCAAGACACTGCACTTGTAGCCTCAGGCATTCTAGAGAGGATTTATTTATTTATGATCATTATTATGATAAATTCACTCAAATGTTTTATGAAAGCATAACATGGTTTTATTCCATTAATCTCAGGATTAGGGCATTCTACAGTCATTTTCTAATGAAAGTAGGCAGTGTAATCATATGTTATGTGCTTCTAGCTCCTATGAAATATCGGTATATTTCAGACTGTGCTGTTGTGATTTGATATATAAATGCAGCAGTAGTTAATTTATCATAGGTTGAATATGACTTTCCCTCACTAGCATTAATTTAGAATTCTGATGTAGTGGGGGAGATAATAAAATAGGTAGGGGTACAGTAAGAAGTTTGTTTTTAGCCTTTAACACTTTAGGTAAGCTAGTGAAGAGCTGAGAGTTTGAACAATCACAACCTAGTTCGAAGATTTGACTGCCAAACATAAGCTATGTAATAATATGCTGTGGAACTCTAGATCTCTGATGCAGGGTATGCTAATGCACACTGTTCTGCCCGGATGTGTTCCCTGGGATGTGTTCCCAGATGGAAGACCAGCAACCCACATAGACCATTGCCGTTGGTCTGTAGCAACTCTTATTTTGGCTGCCATACAGTTAGGAGTCAGTGAAGGATCCAGGGTGCAGGTCCTCCATCATTTTGTGTAGGAAATAAGAATTTTCACTGGTAGAGTACCTCCTAAGGATTACAGAATTAGCATATAGAGTCAATTAAACACAGCTAAACAGAAGGGCAGAAACATTTCATTTGTTAACAAATACACAAAATTGTAAATCTGTACAGAATAGCAGCATAAGGTATTTGGCACATTCATTTTGCTGAATAAAAGAAATCAGGGCTAAGGAAAACTTCTCCAAAGCATATGTGAAGGGAGTGGTGATAACACAGAGTAATGCTGTATATATTTATTTGAAAGGCAGTCTATTGTGTTCAGAGTGGGTTACTTCTGACTAAGTATATTTGGGATTGTACTCATCTTCTGTAAAATCTAGAAATCTTCACACACACACAAAGAAGAACACACATTGGAATGTACATTAGATGCTATATAAATATAAATGTGCCCAATCAATTGAAATGCTTTCTCAAACCCAGCATTTTGGGGTTTTGATATAAATGCCATTAGGATTAACTGTGTTAGAATTCAGTACACAAATAGATGCCAAGATCTCTGAAAGTTACCTTGCTTTTAATAATCTGGTCTTGCACAGTCCGTTTTGCAATGTTCAGATCCAGATGAAATTAACAATAACAATATGCAACTTTTGTCATTTCAGGAGAGGCAAGTGCTTCCACAATGTGGGACAACAATGCCTGGATTTTCTTTTATGACAACAGTACCGAAGGGGAACCTCCATTTTTAATACAGGACTTTATCCATGCCTTCCAGCCAAATGCAAAGCTAATTGTTATGCTTAGGGATCCTGTTGAAAGGTTAGCACCCAATATTTAACACTTTCAAATGTTTCCTTTGTTTTACTTGTTTGTACAGATTCTAACTGTCCTCAGAATTTTATTATACATGGACAGCTGACTCTCCCCCCCCCCCACCCCAACACTGCCACCACTGCATAGACTTTATTGGTAAAAACAAGCAAGGAACCAACCACCACACACCTTATTTTTAATATGGCTGATATGATCTGGAATACTATCATGCTTTTGGACTAGACATTGGTTATTTGATTGAAAAATGATTACTTCTAACCCTGCTATGTGTATATAATCATGGCTCCTGTCCAGATCCTTTTTTCTGACCAAGTTATGCCTAGGGAAGGATTAGAAGTAGTCTTTGGATTGAAGGAGGAACCCATGCACATCTCTCCACATCAGAAGAGAAATAAATAAATCCTCAAACTGACTCGTCGCACACATGCTTGAAAGTAGAATCTGCCCTGTATCAGTGGAATTAAAAGTCCATTTAAAAAGGTTTTAATCTTGCAGGATCAAGAACATGCCCTGTTCAAATAAATACAAGATCCGGTTGAGTCTTTCATATGTCCCAGTGCCGAGAAAAGCAGTGGAGGTTTGGCCTGCCTGGGCATTAGCATAAAGAATGGTATATAACCAGGCCAATTAACTGTTTCACTTGTATGTTTGGATGGGTGTTTGTAAGCTCCCCAACCTTCCCCAACCTGCTGCCCTCCACGTGAATGAATGGTTTCTTATGGTCATATACCAATACCAGCTTTATTCAAAAGAAAAATAAAACTGGTTGATGGACTACAACTCCCCACATACTGATTCTATTTTCAGTGGATGCTTTTAAAAAATCAAATGTGAGAATATGTGATGCACATTTCGTGACAGAATGTATAACAACAGTACTTCTCATCATCAGTATTTCTTCCACTTTGACTCCCATACCTGAAAGTAAAATGATGATGATGATGATGATGATGATGATGATGTTGATACAGTGTCATTGTCCTCCCAAATGCCCTCTATATATTTTGAGGAAAAAGTAATAAGATAACACATGCTGAAAGGTTTTCCCTATTAGATTTGCATTCTCTCCAGGACTGCTGCTGTAGTTACTGCTGCAGTCAAGTCATCTCCAACTTAGGCCGACCCCATGAATGAAAGCCCTCTGTAATGTCCAGTCCACAACAGCCCTGCTCAGCCCTTTTAAGTTCAAGGCTGTGGCATCCTTTATGGATTCAATCCTTCTGATATTACATTTTGCTTTTCTTCTGCCTTCTATTTTCCCTAGCATGTTTGTCTTCTCCACGTTTGGTATTTTATTTGTAAACTTGTGATAGGAAAGTTACTTACATGACAATCATTAACATTATCAGAAAGATCTTGCACGCATGGAAACGATGTCTATAGCCCAGATATTTCTCATTGATACAGTTCCTTTTCAGATTGTCTATCCAGGTCAGTGCAATTGTGTTGATATTGGCTAATTAGGGTGCAAACCAAGGTGGATGCTCATAAGCCTCTGAACATTATGAGTAGTTTTGCATCCCTCCTCCTCCCATCCTGCAAATTAGATTTCAGTGGTCTAGCTTAGGTGCTTTGGATGGGGAGGGAATTGAACTGGAATGCTGTCAGTTCATGTCATATTCCTGCCCCCCTCTCCCAACATCCTCTTTCCCCCTTCTCTGAGACAGTATGAAGACCTTGGTGAAGCAGCCATGCAGATATTTCAGTGTGGGGGGGAAAGCAGGGTGATCCAGTGCAAATCCTCACTCTGAGGTTGGAGCTCTTTTCTGATTATGGAGCTAGGAATCTGAAGCATGTTGTGGGCCTCTAGATGCTGTCAAGGGACTGTAGGATTGCTCTGTTAATAACACAAGCAGAAATTCAATTGTGTATAGTTTATAATGTAAATAAGCGGAAGTCAGCAGTTCTCAATGTTTCTGTTGGGAAATTATCACTAGCTACAGTTGAGAATGATGGCATTGACCTATAACTTGATAAAGAGCTTGCTGTGATTTCTAAGGTTGAATTTCTAAACTTTCTAAGCTTTCCTCTCAGTGCACCCAGCTTCACGTGACTGAAAAACTCTGGTCTTTACTGTTGTCTCCTCATTGTGGTGCATATTCTGATACTTATTGCTTTCGTACTTTACAAGGGAAACCTGCTCGTAGCCTAGAGAATGTACTCAGATTGGCAAGGGAAAACTGTCCAAATGAAATAAACTTCTTCTGTAAACTATCTGTTCACCTTTGCTTCCCAGTTCCTTCTATCCCACCTACAACCATAATTGCAAGATGTGTTGGCCTGCACCAGTATTACTCGGGATACCACTGCTCCCTGCATCTCATTTGATAATGCACTATTGGTCACCTGTAGCCTTTTTATATGCGTGCATATCTGCTGGAATGGTGGCAAAATTTTGTTTATATTATAAAGAGCTGCATTAAGGAATTGGCTGGCTTCCTCTTTGCTGTTTTTCTCATATCTTCCAGTTTCATAGCCAACTATTTCATGCACAGTAAAACAGGCAGCTGCCTAAGGCAGCAAAATACAAAGCACAGCCAAATATTTGATGCCTGTTTATTGTCAGCGAAATACAAATGGGAAGTAGCATATTTCCCTCTTTGACTACATATACTTACAGACAATTCCTTCCATTGATAAGTTGTAGTACATGGATCTGTCCCTATTCTGATACCTTATATAGAGTCATAGTGCTAAGTTGGGTCACCTGTTGCATCTTTGGCATCTCTGACATAATAACTTTCCCTTCTTCCCATGATAATAAAGAGTGTTAGATTCATTGCACTAAGGATACAGAAAATTCATTTTCAAAGTGAAAGCAAAGTACTATTAAATGTCTTTTTTAAGTTGTCATCCTTACGAAAGATGACAACAAGCTAAATTGAAGTGCATCCAAGATCAAAACATGGCTTTATGTTTATGGCTATTGACTTGTTTTCTGTCCAAACAAATAGCTATTGCTATAATTTATAAGTAATTTTCTGTTCTTGGATGTAGAATATTTTATTAGTAGTAGAGACAAAGAAATAACAAAGCCTTGCTAAATTGTGATTCATTTATCAGATCAGTGGACTAAATCCAATGTTAAATGTGGAGATGCAGTTGTACAAAGGGACATTCCCTTTCTTCCTCCTTTAGTTCTCCTGTATGTCCCTCTTTCCTAGATTTAGTCCAGAAAGTACTCCAACCCTCTGGAACAGGATTGGAATGCATGTGAGGAGCTGCAGGGTATGGGGAAATTTTAGTCTACCAGTGGTATCTGTTCCTCTGGATGAATAACACCACTGGATAGAAAGCAGTGTTGTAAACAGGAAAGACAAGATCCACATTTTCTTCTGCAGGTAAACATTTTAATGAAATGGTAGACAACTATATTTGGCCTAAAAGCAGAAATGCTATACCAGCAATTCTGGAGAGACGAATATAATATCTTGCCAAAAAACACTGAAGAGAAAATTCCCTGTTGAATTGTGTGTCAAAGAAAGTATCAGATCTCAGTCATGTATTGCTTGTGATGCCTTTGATACTGATTGACTTTGGGTGGATGGCTTATAATTGACCCAGGTGAAGAAGTTTATGAACATTCCACTTCTCAGGAAATGAAACAATCATTGGAGCCTACTTCATGATGGAAGGAAAAATTGTCAGTATGTCTGGGGTTCAATTTTTGCAAAGGTCTTTGGTACAGATGTAGCTTTTTGGAGCACATGCAGGTTGAGGAAACATAGCAGCAGAAGAGAATTAACAGTGAGACCCAAGGAAAGGTTCAGTGTAGACAATGAACTGAAGAAGATAGTCCTGAAGGAAGGGCAGCTGGAGAAAAAGGATGTTTTCATGAAGGGCAGAGAAGACGGAGAACGGAAAAAAAGGATTGGCTAATGGAAAAATAAGGATAACATGAGTGGATTTGCGATTGCTGTAACTGATATAAAGCAAAAGACCTGAGAATGAACAGGAGTATGAAGGAAGACACTTCATAGGAAGCAATATGGAAACACAACCTGAATTCTATGAGCTGCTTACAGGTAGTTGTGGACATAACAATGATGAATTAGCAAAGATACTGGGGGAAGTAGCATGGTAACATTTCACCAGTAGTTATACTTGGATTTTTCAGTACTTGATTTTTGCTTGCTTTCAGTACTTGATTCTTCATGAAAAGCTTCTGGTAGCAACAGTGAGATGATGGGAAATTGATTTAACAGATATGAGGTAGAACAGGGGTCTCAAACTCAACTTACCTGGGGGCCGCTGGAAGTAGAGTCTGGGTGAGGCTGGGCCGCATCAAGTATTCCACCACCGCGGTGGTGGTGGGCCGCTCATCCCGCCTCACTCCCGGAGGCCGGCCCGGGGGCCGCCGGCACTTTGAAGGCCGCAGGGCCCCTCCCCGGTGCCCCCTCCGTCCCGGCAATTGGCCCGCGGGCTGCGAGTTTGAGACCCCTGAGGTAGATGAAGAACTCTTTTCCAGTTAGGCAAGTTCAGCCAACCTGAAAATTGTTCCTAATTTTTCTGCGGTGAGACCTGCCTGCCTGGCATTCCCAAGTTTTCAGTGAATTTGCAAAGAACCTATGACATTGAACCCATAAAAAAGTAATAATACAAAATTACTACCGTTTTTTTAAACAGGTCCTTTCTATAAAAATAACATTAATTTTCTTCTGAACGTCTTGACTGCTGTAATACATTCAATATGTTCCATTGTTCCTGTGTTGTTTCATTCACAGATTATATTCTGATTATCTCTACTTTGCAAGCGCTAACAAATCTGTAGAAGACTTCCATGAAAAAGTGTCTGAGTCATTACAACTGTTTGAAAATTGCCTGGCAGATTACTCCCTGAGAGCCTGTGTGTACAACAACACCCTTAACAATGCCATGCCAGTATGTAAAATTTGATTCAGTTTTGAATAGATGCTTGGACAATATGCTATGAAGTCTGTATATTCACACATCGAGATGTGTAACAATACCATATAGATCCAATCCTAATCCTAATTCTTACTAAGATAATAAATTTGTCTCTGAGCCATGTGGTTTCACATTGCAGTTGGTGGTTCTTATGGAAGGCTTTCCCTTTACAAATCAAAAAGTCCTTACACATGGCGATAAGCATGTCAAGCTGGGTAGGTTAGAGACTGTGTCAGCTACAGATTTCAGAGGCCTTTGGGCCCCTTCTTACTGTCATCCCCACCCCCTGCTGTTACTCCTCTTCCTCTTTTTTTATCACTGCATCCACTTGATTGCCTAACAAGCAAAGAGCCAGGTAGCAAGTAGGGCAACTTGGCCACAGAAACAAGAAGATCACAGTGGTGAAAGGGATGAACAAATCCAGGAGGATCTTTTCAGTGGATCTGTGTTGGGGCTGTGGGTCCTTGGCAGTGTCTGAGCACGTATACCTTTGAGACTGACATTTACTACAGACCTTCTGACATCTAGATGGCTAAGCTAAGGGATTTTTTTCTGTTTTGTTTCAGGGGATTAACAAGAGAGCATTCAAATAGGAGCATCTTATATGAAGGGCTAGAATTTCCCACATTCCTTCAATAAATTTGTATTCTTTACTGTTTGTTGTTCTCTACATCATTATTTCTCCCACTGGAAATTCATTGTAGTGATTAACTTCTAAAGAAGGGCTGGGAGCCACCAGATGTTTTGGCTTACAATTCCCATGATCCCTCACCACTGACTATTCTGGCAGGATTGCTAATGGGGGATGAGTTGAGTCTGAAGGATCACTAAGAAAATACAAACATATATTTCTTGCTTCTTCTAAGAGGCCCTAAATGTTACTTAGCATCGGATGTTAGTTAGCATACAGTGTTTGAGACAGGGGAAAATAAGAATAGTTTTGCTGAAATAGAAAAGGACATAATAAATTCCATAATCAGGACTGAGTTGCTTTTGTGTTAATAGTTCTTACAGATTTAACAAACTATTTTTTGTGATGTTTTCATTCTTTTAGGTAAGGCTCCAGGTTGGTCTGTATGTTGTTTTTCTCCTGGACTGGCTGACAGTTTTTAATAAAGATCAAATACTAGTTCTTCGCCTGGAGGATCATGCATCCAATGTTAAGTTTACTATGCACATGGTGTTTCAGTTTCTGGATTTAGGTAGGCATTTTTCTCAGCCTCCTGTTAAATAGAATTGCCATGTTTTTGAAGGGTCCTCCGCTAGTGCCATCAGTCCTCACCTCAGCCTGACTATACAAACATAGACAGAAGCAAAGAAGGGGCAGAAAAACTTTACCATGAGGAAGAATTGGGCTCCATTTTAAATTTAGTATCTTGATCAATTAATCTGCCACCTGTTGAACAATTTAACTTCAGAGATATATATTGGTGGGTCCCATCACTATCATACAGAAGCTCCGTATATCAGTTGCTTGACTGCTTGACTTACTGGGATTCTTTTTTTTAATTCAGTAATATTAGAATTTACTATATAACTAATCTTCTCATATGCATTTTTAAAATTGCTTAAAGCTAGCTGTCATTTAACCAGTGCTATTCCTCATGCAATTAAAACTCACCTGATTACATTATCTTTAGGGTCACTACACACATCTTTCACTAAGCAGAAAACAGCTTGCTGGAATGTTTAAGAAAAAGGCAAGTTCATTGTGAGAAATGACAAATGCACAGATTTTTATTTCACTCTGGGGTACAGAGTGCTTTTCATAGTTAAAAAGTTAAAGGTTTTCCCTTGACATTAAGTCCCGTCATGCCTGACTCTAGGGGGCCGTGCTCATCTCCGTTTCCTAGTCGAGGGAGCCAGTGTTTGTCCACAGACAGTCTCTGTGGTCATGTGGCCGGCATGACTAAACACCGAAGTGCACAGAATGCTTTTACCTGCCCACCAAAGTGATACCTTTTTACCAACTTGCATTTGCATGCTTTCGGACTGCAAGGTTGGCAGGAGCTGGGACAGATTACAGGAGCTCACCCCGTTGTGCAGATTTGAACCGGCGACCTTTCGATCAACCAGCCCAGCAGCACAGCAGTTTAAACCACTGTGCCACCTGCAGTCCCTACGGCTACCCTAATTTCCTCCCTTCTCTGTGGGAGCAAATAATGATATCTTCACATGAAGTGACCTGTGAACAAGCGAGCTGTTTAGCATGTTCAACACAAATAGACCAACATAAGGCAAACTTTTGGGTCATGAGAAAGCCCCTTTCACCTTCCCCTCCCACAGCATAATGTGGGGTGAAACCCATTTTAATAGTAAATTTGTACCACTTGATTTTTTGCTGGACTTCTGTGCTTGAGTGAAATAAAAGCTATCATCAGGGACTAAGTATTCAGAAATATGGAAAAGTATTTTTTATTCAAAAATTGACATTTGTGGTTCTTTTATATTCTGATAAATTGTTAGAAAATAGTTGGGCATGAGGAATCATTCTTGCTACCTTCTGTGCAAAATAACGGATACATAGAACATTATGTTGTCTAGTAAACTTTTAAAGACATAAAAATATTTCTATACAGAAGCTGGATGCTGGAATGCAGAGTTTTCTTTCTAATCCAGCCCCAGCAGTAACCTTTTACTGGTTTGTGCACTACCTGCAGGTGTAATAGGAAGCACACTGTTCTTGTCCTCCTTGTTTTTTTTTGTAAAGCACATTTCAAATTATCTCCCCTTTGCACTGAAATACCTGAGCATCTGCATCTACAGCTCATGGGTCCTAGGTCAAAATTTTACATCAAGTTAAATGCATGTAAACATTTAGGGCAAAAGCTAATGCCATGTCAGCGTGGGAGAGCTTGAGAACATGTCTCCTCTGTTGCACTGCACTCTGCCAATTTCTAGTTCATAAGGTCTTCCAGCCTCTCACAGCAGATTTTTGCATATCAGGCATAAAAGATGCTGGCAGAATTTCCCTCTTCTCTATTCCACAGGTGCAAGCTGATTAATTGGATACAGCCCTTAATATGCATCCTTATTCTTTGTGAAATAGCATTTGTAGGAAGAAAGGATCAGAAATGAGGGAAAGGAGAGGATTAACTCTTTCCTCACAAGCTGCTGTCCCACCTAAAATCATACTCTCAAAATCTGCAGTAAGTCCCAGGAAGCAGATTGCAACATACAAGGAAAGGGTTAAAACCCCTCTTGCTTTTTGTTTTCCTTCAATTTATAACAAGATTATGAATGATTTTTCATGCCTTTTTAAATTTTGGGATTCCTCCACAGGTGCTCTAACAGAAAAACAAGAAGCTCTAATTACTAAGAGTCCTGCATCAAACACTAGAAGACCCGAAGATCGTAATCTGGGACCTATGTTACCTCTCACAAAGGAAATTCTACGAGATTTCTATCAGCCTTTCAACAGAAAATTGGCTCAAGTCCTTTCTGATGAAGCTTTTTTATGGAAAAAACCTTGATCTACTCATTTCAGTAATACAAATTCAGTGCTAGGAGAAAATTTTATTTTTTTAAAATCATGTTTTCAGGGCAAATATTTACCCATTCTGAATCCAAGAAAGCCTATTGCTGTTAAATCCTTCTCTCCGTGGTTTGCAGACAATATGTCAAAAGAACTGTATCAGAAGAAGATGAAAGCTCCATGATTATCAGTCTCTCCTACAACTTTTTTCCTTCAGCCTCAAAAGAACAGTGTGCTAATAGCTGTCATATTGAGCAGTCTTCTCTGGTTATAAATTTTGTTCCCCTACAATACAGAAAGTAGCACTAGCCATGTAAAAATGCACATTCTTTCTCATTTTTAATATATGTCTTGCATTATTTGGAAACTTCAAAATATCTTTTTAACCATTAAAAGTTGATTGATTTTAATCCAGAAGTTTGGTTTTTATTTCAACCAACTTTTCACTATGCAATCTTGACACATTTCATAAACTTATGAAATTAGCCTGTGAAACTGGAAACAAAACATGGAAAACCAAGTGACTTGTTAATGGACTGTTGTTTCATTATGCCCAAAGCAGAATTCATTCTTCCAAAATAACAGCAATATAAGAAATTTCTCAAAGATAATGGATTAATAATAGTTTAAAATATTAATCCATCACATCCTGCTAAAGTGTCTGAATGAAATGCTTTAGTTCATAAGATAGAGAAGTTTGAAGATTTTTGGATAAGCTCTCATTAAAGCTGCTGCATCATTTACCAGTGGAGCAGTGTTTGGGGGAGAAGGGTTATATATTTAACAGTTACTTAAATAAAGGAGATGGATAACTAGTCACAGAAATGTATTGATTCCAAAACAGAGAATGTAAAAGCATATCAAAGACAAATGCAATTAGATGCAGAAAATCAGTGCTTGCTTAGGCACACAGGGTCTTTTATTAAGCAGGCACAGATATAAGTACAGAGTCTTGCGGCACTTTCAAAGACTGACCAATTTATTCTGGCATTAACTTTTGTGGATACTGTCCACTTCATCATATGCAGCCGCAAAAGCTGATGCCAGAATAAATTGGTCTTTTAGGTACTGCAGGCATCTTTGTTGGTATCTGCTCCCTTTTGCCTTGCTATGGACTTTCACAGCTAACTCTAGAAATTGAGAAAAGTACACCATCATGTACAACTAAAAGCAAAACAACCAGAAAACCCTCAAAGGCAAATGCCATTGCAGGACTGTTAAGATTAGGATGACTTCAAGTTATCACAGACTTCTTCAGTTAACCTATAAAGCTATATGGGAAAATCATGCATTTCACCAAGTTATACACTGCCCATCCCTGAGTGGGTCTTCTAGCCCAGTGTGTAGTGAATTGCCACACCTCTACCAGTTAGCAAAGTTGAAATGGATTAGAGCTAGGAAACGCAATACCTTATGAACCTAGTGCATAGCAAGTTATAATGACACACCATTGTTAAGCACAGGAATGCAGATTCTCATGTGACTATATCTAAGCGTTCCTGGCAAATGAATGTTATTAATATCCCTGGGAATGACCTGTATGTATATTTACTTAGGAATATAGTGTAATAATATAAATAAAATCTGTATAACTATGATTTTGTAAAATTCCTATCTTTCTGTAAAAGAGAAAAGATACCCAAACCCGTGTGCAGTCAAACCAACAATAAGAATAAATGTCACGGGAAGCAAGAAAGAGTGGTAAATAAATATTCCCAAAAGCCAAAAATAAGCTCCCGAGTAAAACCAGAAAGGATTAAACTATTCATCACCCGTAAACTATTCATCACTCCTACAGTTTGGGATCATCAGACTGCTAGCTCTTAACTCTTAAAGGGATGTGTTCTGAAGGAAGAAGAGCTGCCCACAAGATCTTGCTTAACCTTGCTTAACTGATGGCCTATGTATATTTATTTCTGAATAAGCTTGTGTAGCCTTGAACTGTAAACAACCCATCCAGCAATAATTCTTTAGTCCTTGTTCAGAGATGTTGTTGTTCAGAGATCATCCTTGTTCAGAGATCATCTTGTTCCCACGTACTTCACATTTTTCACCCTACTGTTTTCAAGAATAAGAAGACAAGCATAACCTATAGGGCATTGCAATCTGGTTTGGACTGAAACCAGTAAAACAAATCCAAGCTAGTCACACAGCATTATCATCCAAAATGCATCCAACTGTCTCAAAATGGCACTGGTTTTAAATACAAAAGTTTCTTGCATCAAGGTTTTGATCTGTTGCCAGGATGCTGGTCATGTTTCATAATTATCAAAATAGAAAATAATTGGGCTTTATCTTTCAGTTCCACTATTTCCCTTCAGTTCCAAGAATCAAGGAAAAGCCAGAGATAAGCTCCTTTCAATGTTACTAAGGAAATGGTGGCTATCAAACGTTTACCTCTTATTTGGTGCGTCACATAAGAATAGAAATATGCTTTCAGAAACTCCCCCTACATTAAATGGATTGTTGGAATAAGAAAATACATACCATAATGATACCAAAATATAAAGTTAAATTTAAAATTTGTACAAAGATAAACAGACTTATTATTTTTGAAGAAAACAAGAAATTGTTTCCTGTTGATCTCTAGTGCCGGGCATGTTCTTCTTCAGCCTTAATAAATACAAACAGGATTATCTGCGGCTTTGAATCTCTTATCTTGCCAAAAATTTAGTTAAGAATAATTACATTTCTAAGTCAAATGTAATTTTGCATGTGAAGAGACTAAGGATGGGTGAATAACTGCTTTTCATTAATGCCCAGATTCTCTCGGAACCAATTTAAACTGAATATTACCTAATATCCTACCTTTATTTCATGTAATTTAAAAAATGTAGTCACATCTGAAATGGAAAAAGTGCACATCTTTAAGACAGCATACCAGAAATGCCCATTTTGTTTCCACCATATAGTGAAATGTAAAAGACTTTTTTTTTAAAGTGTGAATGGAAGTTTGGAAATGTGTGAGCTTTTTCCAATAACATGTTTCTCTGCTTCAGGGGCTTCAGGGTTGTGATATTTGCACATTCACCAGATTTGTGAATGTTAAAGAAATTCTTGTCCACACCTACAGGAAGCTCTAACTTCTTTGCTGGAAAGCAATGCCCATCAGAAACCTCATGGAGTCTGATCACTGGCAAGTGTTTAATCTTAACCCAGAGTACTTTCCCTGGTGAAAGAGGTTTCAGCTACATCAACAGAGGAAATAGCTTACGCTCTATTGCCTCCTTGTGTCCACCGTGGAGAATGCTTTTCTTCCCAGCAAATGTGCTTGAATTATAGAAGGAAATCTGTTAGTATTTTTGAACCCTTTCCCTATTTTTGGCATTGTTTCTACCCAGCTTGAATGTATAGGATGGAAAGGAGATCAGTATTTATTTCAAACTATCAACATACAAATCTATGACATGCTCTACAAGTCTGAGCTCTTCAACCTGAAAAGTACTGACTTTTGTTAGAATAAGGGACTAATCTTCATTACAAAAACTGAAAACAGGCATGTATTGATTTCTGATATCCTTTCATGATTCATATTACCTTTTAGTGCACTGTTTGAATAAACACATCATTTGTCAGATGTTTGTCAGATATGTTGAAGAATAAGCAGAGCTGCTCTTTTAACAACTGAGCTGAAATTTCTCAGGGTCAGGGCAAGTGTCCTGCTATAGTGAAAATCCCTTTTCTTTTAATGGCCCCCCTCCCATGGCCAGCATTTTTTCTTTTTTTCACTTCTACACAAAAAAGAAGGCCACCTTTCAAGTTCTGTCACTTGCTTTCTTTCTGATCTGGAATGCCTTCCTGTTGATATACTGGTGTAGTTATGTGCATGTTAACTTTATTTTTGCATGTTTTTAAATTGGAATCCCAGGATCACTGAACAGCTATGCAATGATAAAGTAATAAAAATTCTGTGTTAACAACTTGAGAAGTGAGTTGCCAGATCAGATCAAGATGCATATCACTGGATTATCTAGATTATCTCATGGAGCAGACTGGCAGGATATTCAGGACTGATCAAACAAAGTATTTCTTCACACAGCTTCCAAAACATGGAACCCAATTTAGATGGCTTTACAGCAGAATTGGCAAATGTATTGAGGAAAGGGCCAACAATGGCTACTACTTCAACACCACCCAGAGAGCTTCAGCTATTGGGCAGTGTGGAAATGATGATGATGATGAATAGTCCTGATGGCTAATCAATGAATGAGAATAGTCCTGATGGCTATATGCGTACTCCAATATCAGAGGCAGTATGCTAGATGAACTGCTGAGGAACATGAGCAGGAAGGAGCTGTTCCATCATGACCTACATGTGGGTTTCCTGTGGGCAGCTGGTTGGCCACGTTGAGAGCAGTCTCCTGGATTCAGTCAACCATCTGATCCAGCACACCTCTTCTTATGCTCACCTGTTCTAGTTTGCTATTGTCATTACAAGAAATCCAGAATCTGCAGTTACTAGATGATCCGTCAAGAGTTGGATCCTGATTTAGTCATACATAGAGTACACCAACTGAAGTCAATGGGATTGAAATTGTTGACTTGAAGGTTGTGCAGATCGTGATATCTGCTAATATATTGCATTTTATTTGCTACTCTCTGCATGTGGCATACAGATTAAAACCACCATTTATCACACAAACCAGAAAGGCCATGTTACAGAAGACAATTTTAAGGATGATCATATATTATGAGCCATAGGAATAAGCTTCACAGTGCTGAAAACTGCCATACTAACAATAACAAAATGCAGGGATGCCAGTGCTAACCTAGATTTCTACATATTTAAAGCCTTGTGCTTCTCTGTTATTTTTCAGTAAGAATTCACCAGGTGCCAATAAGTCATTAAAGTGGATGCCCAGTGAGCAAGTCTTGGAATGGGAGGGGATTCCATAATCAGGGGTTGAGTGCCAGGCCATTGAAAAGCCTTTTCTTTCACTGCTACCTCCACCATAATTCAGAGTGTGTTGACAGAAGCAGGAGCAGTTCATCTAATAATCTCTGATATTGCATAAAGCGAGAAGCATAAACGTGGCTTGGTAAGATCAGTTGCCTTTACTTTCTTCCAGTTTCTCCCGACTCTCATTGGTAGACAGGAATGTTCATCTAGCAAAAGCAACATATGGAATTTCCTTACTGCATTAACAAACAGAAACAGTCTGGCCATAGCCTCTTTGTCTGAGAAGAAGTAATTAAGTTCCCAGATGGCTTTTGGGTATGAACCTTTATTGCACTAGGCGGATGCTAATCATTATTTTCAGCAGCAACAAACTCCTGTCGTCTCTTTCCATGCTTCCCTTGCCTTTTCCAACATGAACATTTCATGAAATCTCTGACTTGTCCCTCCACTGAATCAGCATAACAGTTCTTCAAATGATTCTTACACAAGCCAACTTGGTGGGGATTTAAT